GGGGTGAGTGAGTGAGATCGTCACCCTGTTTGGCTGTTGATTGTAACTACTGGGGGCGAGCCGAATCAGGGGCCGCTCGCCCAGGCCTCCATACACACACACACACCACACACACCACCCGCCCACCCGTGAAGTTGAACGCCTCCATGGGGTTCCAGGCCAGCGCGTTGGTGCGCGTCTGCATGACCAGCTTGCGGATGGGGGTGGACGAGCGCAGGTCGTACAGCGCCACGCCGCGGTCGCTGCCCGCGGTGGCAAACACGTCGGGCTCGGCGGGGTTGAAGCGCACTGGGGTGGGGGTGGTGGAAGGAGGAGGGTGTTTGTTGGGGTGATTGACGGGCCCGGCAGGCGCGGCGACGGGCGGGCTTGCTGCGTTGCCCTGCCGCTGCCAGCCCACGGCCCAGCCCTCCCCGCCCCTGCCCCTGCCCCGCTACCGCTCCCTACACCCCCCCCACACACACCCACACCCACACCCACACACACCCACCCGACGTCAGCGTGTCCGCCCCCCAGCTGAACGTCTGCACCGGCTCGGAGCGCTCGTGGTCCCACACCTCCACCGCCGCCCCCGCCGTCGCAAACTGCGCGCGCCCCCAGTGGTGGTCCACGGAGCGGAAGGCGTGGCGCCCCGAAAACTCCAGCACCGGCTGGCTGTCCTCCTGCAGCGGCCCGCCGTCAAACGGCGCAAACGGCACCTGCAGGCAGCGGGCGGTGCGGCGCGGCGGCGGCGGCACTCGGGGCTGGCGCACCAGCGAGCAAGGCAGGCAGGGCAGGCGGCAGGGCAGGCGGCAGGGCATGACGCATGCCGCTGCCATCGCGCCAGCCAGCCGGACGGCCCGGCGGTTGCAGCGCAGCCAGCCCAGACAGCCAGTCAGGTCATGCCCCGCAGCGCGCCCGCCCCGCACCTTCCACAGCTTGACGGTGCAGTCTGTGCTGCACGACACCGCGGCCTCTCCGTCTGGCGTCACGCTGATGCCCTTGATCGCCGCCGTGTGGCCCACCATGCGGCGCAGGCAGCGGCGGGCGGGGATGTCCCACAGCCGCACGTCGCCGTCGGCGGCGCCCGACAGCAGGGAGTTGAGGCGGCGCGGGTTGCGGGCCAGGCACGTGATGCCGTCGTCGTGGGGCAGGGCGGCCAGGAAGGGCTTGGCAAACACACGGTCCAGCTTGGCTGCGCGGTGGGGGGCCGGGGAGCGGGGGCGGGGGTGAGGGGCGGGGCCCAGGTGGGGGGCAGGTAGGCAGGGGCAGGGGCAGGGGCAGAGGGATTCGAGAATGGGGCAGGCCTGGCGAGGTGCGCTGGGCATGCACGCTGAAAGATGCATGACAGATGTGAAAGAGGTGCCGTGCGCCCCTGCCCACCCACCCGCGTTCAACGCCCGCGTGTATTCTTTGGCCTTCTCAAACGGGTGCAGCGCGGGGTCCAGGTTGCGGTGCACCTTCTGCACGTCCTGCGCCCGCTCCCGCGTGCACCCCTCCTCCGACCGGTTGATGGCCTTGACCTTCATGCCTGCCGCCCGCCTGGCCGGCGCTGGCTGGCTGCTGCGCTGGCTGGCTGGCTGCGGGACGCTGGCTGCGCGGTCTAGGCTAAGGGGCTAGCCTGGAGGGAGGACGGCTAGCTCGCGAGCAGCCTGCGGGGCGGGGAGGGAGCGGGGCGGTGGGCGCCTGGCGGCGGCGGCACTGCGTCCGTCTGTCGTGCGTGTCGCTTTGGGTAGCAGCCCGTGGTGGCATGCAGCTGGTCCAGGGCTTGCCTGCGCCTTCACAGCCCCTCGGCTGCTGCTTGGTATGCAAAAGCCTCTTTATCCAGTCGCCTCTCACTGCTGCATATCTGGGTGCAGCTGTAGATTGCGGTGTCTCGCCCTCAAGCGACAACGAGGGGGCTTCCGCGAGTTGGCACTAGCAATGTCGCATGCAGGGGCACTGCAGGCCCTCCAGCTGTGTACTTCTGAGCAGAGTGTTATTGAGGGATAAGGGAGGCGGTATGTACAGGCAAAAAGGCCACCCCACCCCACATGTGCAGGAAGAAGGCAGCCCTTGACAGGCTGTAGCCTGGGCGGCTCAGGACTGTCTGCCAATGTGCTCGTGGCCCTTGCACAGCTTCTGCTCGACGGTTAGCGCCACCAGTGCAGCTTGGCGCTGTTCGGCCTCAGGGCTTCCCGCCTCTTTCTGCCGCCTCCCCTTTCGGCTCCCTGGCCCCTCCCACCTGCTACGGACACAGCCAGCTTACGGCTCCGCGAAGGCGCGTCCCAACCCCTGGGCTCCTGGGCGGGCACCGCACCCTGCCGCCTGCGACGGCAGCCGCCGCCGGGCCG